CTGTTACTTACTGTTGTGATGGAGCCTTCTAGATTGATCTTTTGATTTTCATAAACTTTTCTTTTTCCCATTTTTTAGTTTTCTTGATCTAATTCCTGTGACATTGCCTTGAAATTTTAATTTATTCTTTCAGTTCATTTTTTATTTGTGAATGAGCAAAATAAAGTGTAAACCTGGAGAATAGCAGATGGCATAATGGTTATATCACTAGGCTCCTATGTAGTTGACCACAGTTCTAGTCCCAGACCTGGCTACCTAAAACTCATGCCAGGTACATGTGCATGCATGTCCAAAATCCCAAGAGGAGAATGGAGAAGGGATTGCAGCGTGGCCATCCCCCCAGGGGCTGATTTCTCGCTTTCTGTCTCTGTCTCTGTCTGTCTCTCCAACGAGCACATCTACCCTATAGCAAAAATCTCTAAAACAATTTTTAAAAAGTGCAGACCTGAACACATTTTTCATCCTTTTTTCATTACATATGTTTAAAATTTTCTTATTAATTCTTCAATAGGGAAGTTTGGTTGGCTTAGTGGATTATCCAGATGATGAAGAGGAAGATGAAGAAGAAGAAACATCACCCAGAAAAAGACCTCGTCTTGGCTCATAAAATATTTACAGAAGGACCTCAACGTGTGGTCTTAATAGAATGCTGCAACTGTTCAATGAGCTGAAAATCTGACTCAGAAAGCTTTCTCACTTGAACTTATACAAGGAATAGCAAAAGACAGCATATCAGCTAGGAGTGTTTAGTTCTATAAAAAACCAGGCTTCCCGGGAACTTGATCGCTTGCTAGTAATTAAGGGGGCTGCCTTTCAGTCTGTCAAAAACTAAAAAAGAGGGAGAGTGGAGAGGTTAGTAGCCAGAACCTTGGGAGGTAGCTTCTCAGCAAGGAAAGTCTCAGGTTTTAGGATGATATTGGAGAGGGGAAAGATTGGTAATATTAATACAGCTTGCTCCATGGTGGGTATCCAGTCTAGAAACTATTCTAAAACTTCAGTTGCAAATCCAATAACATTACTCGTATAATGGTGCTGGCCATGTTGTTTTAATCAGTTGCCTCTTTTTCTTTTTAGAAGAAATTTTTATGAAAAACAAATTCAACCATTATTTTAAAAGGATGTTAAGCTGTTGGGACCATTTCTTTGGAGATTTAATAGAAATTCTGCCTTTTAGGTCATTGGAGGGAAGTATACCCTGTATTACAGTGGCATGTGTTGAGTTTTTACACCACAAATTTTCAATACATTTTTGACAAAAACAAGCTGGATTCAAAGATGGATAGTTTTGTTCAAAAACCATTAAAAAAAAAAAAAAAAAAAAAACACGTTCAAGATAACAGAGGCCAAGAATCAGTATAGTCGTATTCCAGATTTTCGCTAGAAGCTTGGGTGTAAATAGAACAGAATGTTTTCAACTGCCTTTCAGTACAATCTAATGTGGAGGATGATTTGGAAGTCATTTTATACCTGGTTAGTAAAGTTGTTTCTCCCCAAAGCTGGAAGGAGGTCTTAAGTACAACTTATAAAAACTAACACATAGTACTGAATTAAGTGGCATTTAATATCTAGAAGCCATTTTGATACAAGGAGTTAAGTTTAGAGTCAGCATGCAGTACATGAAGCCTTTCCATAAACAAGGGTGTAATAACAAAGCTGCTTTTTGAAAAGAGTAAAAGCACATTCCATGTACGTAAATGAATTTAATAAAGTGAGGCACACAGTTAAATTTTATTTTTAGAACAGCAAGTTAACTGTAAATATTTTAATGTTAGTTTGCTCATCTATGATCTGAGATCATGCAGAAGTAAGAAAAATGTCCCCAAACTACAAGTTAATGCCTTGGGAAAAAAAAAAATCTAAAAATAGTAATTCCAGTTACAATCCTTATATCACCCTTGTAATGTGTTATGGGTCCATTTTTCCTGGAATAGCTTAAACTGAAGCAGTTTCCCCTGTTACGGAGATTTTGTAGTTAATTTTAATTTTGGCTATTGTTTGGAAAAGATGGGCTGTCCATGTAGATATGAAGTATAGTTTTTCCATAAAACAGATGTTTATTTTGTATTAAAAATACCACTGTATTTGTTTTACACCATTTGTATACATGTGGTGATTATTAATGCTAAACTGTAAAGTTCAGGAATTAAAATGTGACCCTCTAATTCCATGCTTGATGCTTGTGTTTTGATTTGTTGTAAATATGGTTGACTCCATTTTGAGATATGTCTTTTTTTTACCATAGCTTTAAAAAGCCATCAAAATTGATCCACACTTATTTATTATAAACCATTAGGGTCATACCCAGATCTGAATGAAAGAATTATAAACAATGAGGGTCAATCGCACTTTAAATATCACTGACTACTTAAAGAAAATGAGCCTTGGGCAAGTGAGATCTCAGCACCAAAGCCTCACAGCATGGAGCTATTTTCACCTCTCTAATTAAAGATGCACATATAATTAGAAAGGCCTTTCACCTCATAAGGCAATAACTCAGGATATCTTAAACCAAAATCAAGGAAGTTATATAAATACTCTCTTTCAAGTAAGTTCTTATCATGCCTCTTCTCTCTCCTTAGCTTTCACTAAATTTCTTACAATCTCAGAAGCCCAGACCTAAAAACATTACCTTGTTTACTCTTGACCATCATAAGTAATTTTAAGATTCCAGTAGAAAGTATTATCTTTGTATCTTTCAAAGACTTCCTTTAGTGTTCCTTTCTGAAAAACTTTCACGAATCTTAAACATTTAAGTCCTCATTTTGGAAACTTTTCCTACAGCAGAAATGTGAATATTTTCTTAAAATATAGGATGATAGTTTTCATTGTACATATGCTTACCCATAAACAGTGATACGGGTTCAAGACTCAAAATACCCCTTGAAGAACAACTATGAAGACACATTAGCTGCTATCATAAATGAGTGCCCTCACACGAGATCTGGGTTTTTATATCTTCACTTAGTGAAGCAAGCCAGAGCCCACATTTGTATGCCTTAGGTCCTTTTAAAATGGTATCTGTAAACATGTATCCAATATAAAAATTATTTTTAATAAAAAGTTACATGAAACATATTTCTGTGTTTTAATCACCAGTTATTCTTTTTGTCCATCTAGTGATGAAAATATTACAAATACAGAATAATAACCAGTTTTTCTACTGGTTAAAAGTTGAAACTAAAATGAGCACATTTTAAGCTAATTTTGATAGCCTTTTTTGAAAGTTAATAATTATGGATTTAAGAAGAAGAATGGGGATTTTAAATTAAAACTCAAGAGTATCGCGTAACTAGAAAAAGGTGACTAACACTGGAAGTGTTACAACACTGGAAGTTTCTGAAAGGTCTCTCTCCTATTCTGGTTATCTTTAAGCAAACAGACTACAGAAAATGACTCCTGGGTCATTTCATACAAAAGAACTACACCCAATGGTAACATTTCCCTCAATAGGCTCAGTCAGTTGTTCTTTTGTTTAAAAAATAGGTTTTCTACAAAGAATGGGTCTTCCCTGCTTTAAACATTAGTGACTTCCCACTGCCTGTATTATAAAATATTAAATCCTCACTTACCTAAAAGGCCTTGCACAACCCGTCCTCACCAGTCTCCAGTTTCATATGCTGGCCTTTTCCATGCATTCACAAGTGCACCAGTTCCTCAGTATGTGCTTGACTCTTTTCCTGCTTAGTGCAATTACCCTTCCAATCAGCTTAAACATCACTTTCTTAAAGAGGCTTAGCTAGCCCTGCCTAGAGCGCTCTTAACTTTTCCTTTCTAACAATTTGCTCCCTGGGCCTTCTTCCCGAGCTCCATAAAGGCAGCAGCAACCCTGTCAATCTAGTTCACTATCCTTGGCACATAGCACAAACAACAGTAGGTAACCCACTTCGAATGAATAAATGCATTCTCAACTAATTTATTTCAAAGAGAAACATCTACAAATGAAATTGGCCAATATAAGTAGCTGCCTTTTTCTCAAATGTTTAAAATAGTAACAGCTTATGTTTGTATGTATAAAGCAAGTCTTAGTTTCAACTAACAGGCTTGGTTTTAGGATTAAATAATTTATTTTTAAGAAAATTTGAACTTTTGTTTATTTTTTTAATTATTACTTATTAATAACTTCTTCTTTAAGTTTCTCTGCAAGCAATCTCCTCTTCAGTAATGTTTGCTTCTCTTCTGCTGTCATTTCTGGTTTCTCTGTCATTTCCTTTTTTAAAAAAGGGGGGAAAGAAAGGGAAAAACATTGGCTATAGAATAAAATGGACTCATTTGTCTAAAATTCCTAACACAATGTCTCAAATGAGCAAAGATTGAAGAGATTTCTTTTCAGGGGTGGGGAGGCCCAAAACAGACTAGGTTCCCTTCTTCAAAAAAATCTCTCCTTGGTTTAGGTCTCTTGGAGGTAGTGGCTGAGAACTGTTACTGCTCTATGATCCAGCATTTCAGAAGACTCAGATAAAACAGCCTTCTGACCTGATTCATGCAGAGCAAGGCAAGTGAAGAAACTGAAGAAAACAGCGTATAATGAAATTGCTATCATCTCTACCTCACAAGATTCTCACTTAGAAAAGTTAGCAGCTATTATGCTAACAGTCTGATTAATATGAATAGACTATGAGCAAAATTCATTAGAGGCTTTCTTGTACATTACTGAGATTTTGAAAAAACTCGATTTGCAAATTTTGACAGTAAGGCTAGCCATACCTCTGTTTCTCCAGGAGATTTTCCTTTCTGTTCTGTATTTGGTATCTGCTTAGTTCTTATATCCTTTCTCATAGACATCAACTTATCTCTCTTCTGCTTGAGATAGTGTTCTCGTTGCCGGAGCTCTTCTGTTCCAAGTGCTGATAAGTTCTGCGTCAAGTAAGAAAAGAAACTACCTAAATTCAAGTCCATGTAATAAGTGGTACAGATACCCACTGACTGATTCAATTACAAGCTGGCGTTCATGATCATAATAAAAGCCAAGTGCAGAGCTTGTTCCCAGTGCCTTGTCATTTTGCTCATAGTTCTTAAAAAGTGATGTCTTACTTACTGCTATTGGTCCTTCAATGCTTGCATGTTCTAAGCCAGGAATCTTCAGGCTTTTTTGTGGGAGGGAGGAAGTTTCAGGCAATGCTTCCACCTTTCGTGCCAAAGGTTGTACTGACTGATTAGCAAAATGCACTTTAACTTCTGGCAGTAATTAGATAATGAGACCAATTAGAATATTCTAAGAGATACTAAGTATTAAGCTAGATTCACCAAAATGACCTAACATTAATAATACTTGCTTTTTCCCATATTCATTCAATCAACACATTCAGTGCTTGCATTATGCCAGGTACTAGAGAATGATAAATATGGTCTTGGTTCTTAAGACTGAACTATAGCTTTTCATCTTATAAATACTAGGTATTTATACTATAGCTAAAATAAGATATAATCCTTGTCTGAAGATTAGAACTACACTATAATACAAGGTTGCTGCATAAATCAAATGAATAGTACACTAATTCCTCACTAATAATGTTAATGGTGTCCAAATGTTTGCAGGTGGCACAGTGGTTAAGGTGCTGGACACTTCCACGTGGCCAACCATGGTTCAAATCCTGGACCTCATGGCTTGCTTTCTCACTTTTTCTTTTTCTGTCTCTCTCTGGTCAAATTAATAATAATACGTAAAATAAATAATTCTTTAAAAAAACAACAGGTAGAAACTGTACGTGACCTTATATTTTCAGAACAATTAGTGTAAAGCTTCAATTTCTTATAAAAAGTACCAATAATATCAATAATTTTTGTCTGTAATTATATATTGAAGATAACTATAGATTAAATATCTCTAAACCAAAGATCTCAAATCTAAAATACTTAAAAACCCAAAACTTCTCAAGTGTTGACATCCTGCCACAAGTGGAAAAGTCCACACCTGACCTTGTGATGGGTCACAGTTAAGGTGCTACAATATAAAAACACTGTAAAAAAGCTATGCATTTAAGATATGTATGAAACAAAGATCAGCAGATAGCATACTGGTTACATTGCTGGACTTCTACGTAGTCGGCACAGTTCGAGTCTCAGACCAGGTGGTTTAAAACACAACAGGCACATGTGCGTGCATGCGTGCCCAAAATCCCAAGAAGAGAATGGAAGAGAAGGGACTGCAGTGTGGCCATCCCCCGCGGGGGATGGTTTCGTTTCTCTGTCTCTGTCTGTCTAGCAATTGCATGCACCCTGTATCAAAAATCTCTTTAAAAGAAAAAGATGTGCAGGACCAGCAGTTAGAGTAATGGCTATGTCGCTGAACACCCATGTAGTTGACCACAGTTCATGTCCTGGACCCAGTGGCTAAGATTCATGTCGGGAATGTGTGCGTGCGTCCCCAAGATCCTGAGAGGAGAATGGATGAGAAGGGATTGTGGCGTGACCATCCCCCTGGGGGGTAATTTCTCGCTTTTTATCTCTCTGTCTCTCTCTCATCTTTCTGGAGAGTGCACGTGCCCTGTAGCAAAAACTTCTAAAAAAAAAAAAAAGATGTATATGAAACATAAATGAATTTTATGTTTAGATTTAAGTACCATCACCAAGATATACCATTATGTATATACAAATATTCCAAAATCAGAAAACATCTGAGATCTTAAACACTTCTGATCCTAAGCATTTTAGATGAGGGCCACTCAACCCACATAAGCCTGCCAATGCAGTGAGAAAATGCAAAGCATGCAGAATTTTTAAGTACATATAATGTGAATACTTTCCAGGTACTATATGTGGTCATTGACACCAAGAGACAGGATTGGCATTTGTTTTACTATAAGGTGATTTTTTTTTTCTTTTTCTTTTTTTTTTTTTTTTTTGCTATAGGGCAAATGAGGCTAGCTGAAGAGAGACAGAAAGCAAGAAGTCACCCCCACCCCCAAGGGGGATGGCCACCCCAAAATCCCTCCTCCTCCAGTTTTCTCTCGGGGTTTTGGGAATGCACACACACACGTACAGCATGAGTTTCAAGCCTCCGGGTCTGGGTCTTGAACCGTGGTTGACCACTCAGAACCCAGTACCTCAACCACCACACTGGCCCTCTGAGGTGATTTCTTTTTTAAAAAAAGATACAACAACCCAATTGTAGTAGTGCACACAAGACACTTGTGTGCTGCAGGCTAAGGTGGAGATCTGGGTTCCATTCCCAACCCATCCTGAAAAGCTGGTGCACTGGTATGTGCCTATCATCTTGGGAACCTGAGGCAGGAGGATTGTAACACAGCAACATGAGGCCACCCTCTCTGGTGAGTGATTTCTCACTTTCTCTCTCCCTCCTTCTCCACTGTCTCTCACATTCTCTGGTGAGCACACATGTCCTCTAGCAAAAACAAAAAAAATTAAAAATTAGGTCACAGATATAAATGTAAAATGCAAAACTATAAAATTCCTAGAAGGAGACCAGCAGGTGATATGGTGGTTAAGGTGCTGGACTCCCACATGGCCAACTGTAGTTCAAATCCTGAACTCGGCCATGCACATGTATGTGTGTGCCCAAAATCCCAGGAGGAGAATGAAGGAGAAGGGACTGTGGCGTGGCCATCCCCCCTGTGGGGTGATTTCTCACTTTATCTCCCACTGACTCTCTCTGGCAAGCACCCTATGGCAAAAAGCTAAAAACAAACAAACTCCTAGGAGGTAGGTAACAGGAGAAATCCTAGATGACCTTGGGTATGGTGATGACATTTTTAGTTATGACTCCAAAGGCACAATTCATGAAAGAAATAATAAGCTGGACTGGACTTAAATTTTAAACTTTTGCTCTGCAGAACTCATGAATGAGAAGATAAACCACACACTGGGAAAAATATTTCCAAAAGGCTTATCTTATCTATAAAAGACAATTATCCCCTGGTTTTTTTTGGAGAGGTTTTTGCTATAGGGCGTGTGCGCTCGCCAGACAGAGACAGAAAGCGAGAAATCACCCCCCCAGGGGGGATGGCCACACCGCAATCCCTTCTCCTCCATACTCCTCTCAGGATCTTGGGCACGCACGCACATGCGCCCGGCGTGAGTTTTAAGCAACCAGGTCCAGGATGTGAACCGTGGTCGACCACGTGGGAGTCCAGCGACATAGCCATTATGCTAACTGCTGGTCCCAAGGACAATTATCTCTTACAAAAACTTCTTTAAGGGGGCCAGCAGGTAGCATGGTGGTTAAGTGTACTGGACTTTCACATGGTCAACCACAGTTGGAGTCCCAGACCTGGCTGCTTGCTTTCTCACTTTCCCTCTCTCTCTGTGTCTCTCTCTGGTCAAATTAGAATGAATGAATAAATAAATGAATAATTTTAAAAAACTCTTTGTAATCAGCAATAATAAAATGAAATTAATGGGCCAAAAATCTTAATGGACAGATCACAGAAACTATACAGATGACAGATAAGAATATTAAAAGATGGTCCACATCATATATCATCAGGGAAATGCAAAGAACAGCACAGTGAGATACCACTACACACCTATTAGGATGGCTAAAGTCCAAAACACTAACAAATGCTAGCAAGGATAAGGAGCAACAGGGACTCTCCTTTACTGCTGATGTGAACGGAAAATGGTACAGCCACCTTGGAAGACAGTTTGACTTTCTTACAAAACTAAACATTCTCTTACCATATGATCCAACAATCATGTTTCTTTTTGTTTAAAGAATTATTTTATTTAACTTTATTTATTTTAATTTGGCCAGAAAGGGACAGAGTGAGAGAGAGAAGGAAAGCAAACTGCCAGGTCTAGGACTCAATCTGCAGCCAGCCATGTGGGAATGAAGCACCCTCAATCACCACACCACCTGCCGGCCCCAACAACAATCATGTTTCTTGGTATTTACCCAAAGGAGCTGAGATCTTAAGTCCATACAAAAACCTGCATGTGGAATGTTTATAGCAGCATTATTAATAACTGCCAAAACTTAAGTGCAACAAAGGTGTCCTTCCTTCAAGTAAATGGATAAACTTTAAATTGTGGTACATCCAGGTGATGAAACATTCAGTGCTACTGTAAAAAGAAATAAGCTATGGAGCCATGATAAGACATGAGGGAACTTTAAATGCATATTACTGAGTGAAAGAAGCCAATCTGCAAAGACTACCTACTGTATTCCAACTACATGACATTCTGGAAAAGTCAAAAGTATTGAGACAGTAAAAAGTGGTTGCCAGGGTTTACAAGAGGGGGAAGGAATAGGTAGATCACAGAATTTTTAGGGCAGTGAAACTATTCTATGATACTATAACTATAGAGCTACACCATTACATATTTGTCCAACTCAGTAGAAAAGACACAACCAGGAGCAAAACCTAATGTAAGCTATGGATTTAGGGTGGTAATGCTACATTAATGGAGGTTCTCAAATATAACAAATGTACTATTCTGGTGGGGGTGTTGACAATGGGAGAGCTTATGCATGTCTGGGGATGGGGGCTATATGGAAGTATCTGATATACTGTTCAATTTTATTGTAAATTTAAAACTGTTCTGAAAAATAATGTGTACTAAAAAATGTTGTTCTCAAACTTAAAAAAAATTAATGGGCAGGGACCAGCAGATGGTGTAGTGGTTACATTGCTGGACTCCCAGCGAGTCCCAGACCCCAGGGACTTGAAACTCATGCTGGGTGTACATTCCCCAAATCCCAAGAGAATGGATGAGAAGGAACTGTGGCATGGTCATCCCCCCGGGAGGGGGGTGGTGGTATTTCTTGCTGTCTCTGTCTCTCCTACAAGCACATGTGCCCTATAACAAAAATCTCTTAAAAAACAGTAATGCGTAAACATCAAACTTATCTCAATTATAAAGTTCCTCTAACATGTAATAGTATTTAGAGTCTGAAAACCAAGGTAAGGTCACAGTTTGACCATTTAAGGGTTGAATGATCTTAGAAAAGCCACTCAAATTCCTTGAATTTCTCATATATATTTTTTAAAAAGAAGATAAAGATAAGGATCACAGTAGCTATCTCATGAAGTTATGCTTTTTTTTTTCTTTTTGAGAAAAGGACTTTTATTTAAAAGCAAAGATACTACCCACGCTAAAATGAACTAAATTTGTGATCACGATTTGATTTCTATTTCAGAATGACTTGTTTTGTTATATACAAGATCAGAGAGCATGAGTTTCAAGCCTCCGGGTCTGGGTCTTGAACCGTGGTTGACCACTCAGAACCCAGTACCTCAACCCCCACACTGGCCCTCTGAGGTGATTCCTCTGAGGTGATTTCTTTTTTAAAAAAAGATACAACAACCCAATTGTAGTAGTGCACACAAGACACTTGTGTGCTGCAGGCTAAGGTGGAGATCTGGGTTCCATTCCCAACCCATCCTGAAAAGCTGGTGCACTGGTATGTGCCTATCATCTTGGGAACCTGAGGCAGGAGGATTGTAACACAGCAACATGAGGCCACCCTCTCTGGTGAGTGATTTCTCACTTTCTCTCTCCCTCCTTCTCCACTGTCTCTCACATTCTCTGGTGAGCACACATGTCCTCTAGCAAAAACAAAAAAAATTAAAAATTAGGTCACAGATATAAATGTAAAATGCAAAACTATAAAATTCCTAGAAGGAGACCAGCAGGTGATATGGTGGTTAAGGTGCTGGACTCCCACATGGCCAACTGTAGTTCAAATCCTGAACTCGGCCATGCACATGTATGTGTGTGCCCAAAATCCCAGGAGGAGAATGAAGGAGAAGGGACTGTGGCGTGGCCATCCCCCCTGTGGGGTGATTTCTCACTTTATCTCCCACTGACTCTCTCTGGCAAGCACCCTATGGCAAAAAGCTAAAAACAAACAAACTCCTAGGAGGTAGGTAACAGGAGAAATCCTAGATGACCTTGGGTATGGTGATGACATTTTTAGTTATGACTCCAAAGGCACAATTCATGAAAGAAATAATAAGCTGGACTTAATTAAAATTTTAAACTTTTGCTCTGCAGAACTCATGAATGAGAAGATAAACCACACACTGGGAAAAATATTTCCAAAAGGCTTATCTGTCTGATAAAAGACAATTATCCCCTGGTTTTTTTTGGAGAGGTTTTTGCTATAGGGCGTGTGCGCTCGCCAGACAGAGACAGAAAGCGAGAAATCACCCCCCCAGGGGGGATGGCCACACCGCAATCCCTTCTCCTCCATACTCCTCTCAGGATCTTGGGCACGCACGCACATGCGCCCGGCGTGAGTTTTAAGCAACCAGGTCCAGGATGTGAACCGTGGGCGACCACGTGGGAGTCCAGCGACATAGCCATTATGCTAACTGCTGGTCCCAAGGACAATTATCTCTTACAAAAACTTCTTTAAGGGGGCCAGCAGGTAGCATGGTGGTTAAGTGTACTGGACTTTCACATGGTCAACCACAGTTGGAGTCCCAGACCTGGCTGCTTGCTTTCTCACTTTCCCTCTCTCTCTGTGTCTCTCTCTGGTCAAATTAGAATGAATGAATAAATAAATGAATAATTTTAAAAAACTCTTTGTAATCAGCAATAATAAAATGAAATTAATGGGCCAAAAATCTTAATGGACAGATCACAGAAACTATACAGATGACAGATAAGAATATTAAAAGATGGTCCACATCATATATCATCAGGGAAATGCAAAGAACAGCACAGTGAGATACCACTACACACCTATTAGGATGGCTAAAGTCCAAAACACTAACAAATGCTAGCAAGGATAAGGAGCAACAGGGACTCTCCTTTACTGCTGATGTGAACGGAAAATGGTACAGCCACCTTGGAAGACAGTTTGACTTTCTTACAAAACTAAACATTCTCTTACCATATGATCCAACAATCATGTTTCTTTTTGTTTAAAGAATTATTTTATTTAACTTTATTTATTTTAATTTGGCCAGAAAGGGACAGAGTGAGAGAGAGAAGGAAAGCAAACTGCCAGGTCTAGGACTCAATCTGCAGCCAGCCATGTGGGAATGAAGCACCCTCAATCACCACACCACCTGCCGGCCCCAACAACAATCATGTTTCTTGGTATTTACCCAAAGGAGCTGAGATCTTAAGTCCATACAAAAACCTGCATGTGGAATGTTTATAGCAGCATTATTAATAACTGCCAAAACTTAAGTGCAACAAAGGTGTCCTTCCTTCAAGTAAATGGATAAACTTTAAATTGTGGTACATCCAGGTGATGAAACATTCAGTGCTACTGTAAAAAGAAATAAGCTATGGAGCCATGATAAGACATGAGGGAACTTTAAATGCATATTACTGAGTGAAAGAAGCCAATCTGCAAAGACTACCTACTGTATTCCAACTACATGACATTCTGGAAAAGTCAAAAGTATTGAGACAGTAAAAAGTGGTTGCCAGGGTTTACAAGAGGGGGAAGGAATAGGTAGATCACAGAATTTTTAGGGCAGTGAAACTATTCTATGATACTATAACTATAGAGCTACACCATTACATATTTGTCCAACTCAGTAGAAAAGACACAACCAGGAGCAAAACCTAATGTAAGCTATGGATTTAGGGTGGTAATGCTACATTAATGGAGGTTCTCAAATATAACAAATGTACTATTCTGGTGGGGGTGTTGACAATGGGAGAGCTTATGCATGTCTGGGGATGGGGGCTATATGGAAGTATCTGATATACTGTTCAATTTTATTGTAAATTTAAAACTGTTCTGAAAAATAATGTGTACTAAAAAATGTTGTTCTCAAACTTAAAAAAAATTAATGGGCAGGGACCAGCAGATGGTGTAGTGGTTACATTGCTGGACTCCCAGCGAGTCCCAGACCCCAGGGACTTGAAACTCATGCTGGGTGTACATTCCCCAAATCCCAAGAGAATGGATGAGAAGGAACTGTGGCATGGTCATCCCCCCGGGAGGGGGGTGGTGGTATTTCTTGCTGTCTCTGTCTCTCCTACAAGCACATGTGCCCTATAACAAAAATCTCTTAAAAAACAGTAATGCGTAAACATCAAACTTATCTCAATTATAAAGTTCCTCTAACATGTAATAGTATTTAGAGTCTGAAAACCAAGGTAAGGTCACAGTTTGACCATTTAAGGGTTGAATGATCTTAGAAAAGCCACTCAAATTCCTTGAATTTCTCATATATATTTTTTAAAAAGAAGATAAAGATAAGGATCACAGTAGCTATCTCATGAAGTTATGCTTTTTTTTTTCTTTTTGAGAAAAGGACTTTTATTTAAAAGCAAAGATACTACCCACGCTAAAATGAACTAAATTTGTGATCACGATTTGATTTCTATTTCAGAATGACTTGTTTTGTTATATACAAGATCAGAGCATATTAAAAATGGATCTGCCACCTATTGAACAAATTTATCTGCTAATATTTCCTACAAGGATTCTTATCAGGTTTTGCTTCAGACACAATTTCTGACTAAACACCTAGATAAACTGGCTACCATTTATTTTCTAGTTGTGTCTTAACTAATTGGGAAAGTCATTTCCTATTGTCTTTCCAAGTTCAGCTTTTCATTCACAAATACCATATAATGGCAAGAAGGATGAGAATACCAGATGTAACGTGAGCATGTCTTTAGTGCTACTGCCATGGCACAAAGGCTGCTGATTCACTCAGGCATTGCACTCACTCACTGTTCTGGGTTTACTTGGGCACATGGGGACTGCACTCTCTTTCCGCTGGGCATTTCTACCTGCAACTCTTTAATGAAATTCACAAAGAATTTTAAAAACCAAAGCCCTAAATATTTCTTCCCAGGGTTTTATAATGTTCAACACATATAAGAAAGTAACATACTCTGTACAGTGTTTACATATTCATATTATTAGAGAAAGCTCAGTACACATCAACCTTACCTGAGGGTGGATGTGCAAAGGGTTCACAATCCCCTTGGGAATTACTAATTTTTGCAGCTTCACTCGTATGTACTGGGAGTTCTTCTGTTTTAGCCTCTGATAACTTCAGGATCCCATGACACAATTAACAAAACACACAATACAGATTAATTTTGACTAATTCACTACCTAAGGGATACAAAAACACTATTTAAAAAAGCACTGCCTACTGACTAAATAATAAAGAAACTCTACTTTTGCAAGTTCTTAAGATGTTGCTACTATTTGTTATCTCCTACTTTTTGAAGTAGATAAATACTTCATTTCAAATCATGCAGTGCTAAGAATAATCAGTATGGTTAAGACTTTGGAATTAGCAAGAATTGTGTTCAAACCCAGACTTCAGCCTTACTACTCATGTGTTCTTGAGCAAAACAATGAGACATACTCTCTTTTTTTTTTTTTTTTTTTTTTGTTTTTTTTTTTTTTTTTTTTTTGGTAGGGGTTTTTGCTATAGGGCGTGTGCACTCACCAGAAAGACAGAGAGAGACAGAGAGACAGAAAGCAAGAAATCACCTCCCCGGGGGATGGCCATGACACAATCCCTGCTCCTCATTCTCCTCTCGGGATCTTAGGCACACACACACATGCGCCTGGCGTGAGTTTAAGCTACCGGGTATGGGACTCGAACCACGGACAACTACATGGGAGTCCAGCAACATAGCCATTACGCCAATTGCTGGCCCAAGAGATGTACTATTAAGAGAAATCAGACCACAGAATTATGAAGTGTTTGTCCATTTAAAATAATGTATATACTACTACTACAAAATGCCTGAAGTTGCCACAAATTACTTTATTTCCATTTAGAAGCAGTATATTAAATCATAGAAATCTTGGAAAGAAATAAATTGGTATTCACTTTTCCCTAAAAATTGGAGAAAATGCAATTATACATAGCTTATTTGGCAATTCACAGATATCTAAATTATGAGCCCCTATATTCTAGATACTAAGTATACCCGGGGGTTCATTATTATTACCATCCCTACTGCCAAGTGTTTGAAAATTTCCAAAATAAAAAGTCTTGAAAAAAATTCACAATTCCTAAAACAAACCATTCAAGAAATCTGAATGCAAAAATGTGTCATGACTTTTCCAATGACACAATAATAAAGGGCCAGTCCAGTAGCCTAGTGATTAAAGGGAACCAGATCCCATATGGCTGACCATGGTTTGAGTCCTGGTCCCAACAGCTTGAAAAACATGCTGAGTACTTGTGCAAGTGTGCCCAAAATCCATGCAGGAGGAAGAAAGGGAAGAAAAGCAATTACAACATGACCACGCTGCATGAGGAGTGCTTTCTCTCTTCCTCTCTCTCTGGGGAGTGCATGCTTTGGAAAAAAAAAAGAAAAGGAAAGAAGAAAGAAAAAACAGAAATCTAATACGTAGTTTGCAAATCAGAAAGTTAGTACCAAAGTCTTCTGATTTAAACCAACTTCTGTTCTATATACTTTTTATTTTAAAATCCGTATTAATAATTAAGAACTTTGCTTCCATTTAGTAAAATATTTACTTTAAGATACGAAATCAACTCTCAATTCTAAAACATCTTTCTTCTGCTCTTCATTGGGTACCCTATAATAAAATAGGTTTTTCAAAAACGGTGAAATGACAAAAGCATATAGCATAATGATTTGAGATTTTAAAAAGAAAAAATATCTTTAAATAATTGAGAGAATATTTATATTAGGTTTCTCTTTCCTTTCAGAGAGCCTGAGAAAATACAGAAAAAGAGAGCAGCTAGAAAAGAGGAGAGGTAAGAATAAGTATCATCTTCCCTCACACATGTTTAATTTACCTTAGGATAAATTAGGCACTTTCTGGAAATGGTTTTTGGAGGAAGGAAGTGTGACAAGGACTCATTCTGCTTCAAGCTGACAATAATATCAAAGGCCACAGGGGATCTTTGGCAAGCGTAGTTGCTATTTCAATACAGTTAGTCAAGGAAAATAGAAAAACAATGTATTTTTCCTTTTTTCTTTTAAATAACTATTTAATTTTATTTATTTTATTTATTTATTTTAATTTGACCAGAGAGGGACAGAGTGAGCAAGAAAGAGAAAGAGAGGGAAAGTGAGAAAACAAGCCATCAAGTTTGGGACTCAAACTGCGGTTGGCCATGTGGGAATCCAGTGCCCTCAACCACCATGGCACTTGCCAGCCCAGAAAAATAATAAATTTTTCTTAATCTTCTTTATTTTATAAAATTAAGGGGAATTTTATAAGGCACCCCAAAATATGAATGGTATTAAAAGCTTTTGGAGTTAATAATCTTGATCTTTATCGTGTAATTTAAAAGGCAGGATGCTGGGTAAACTATAAAGTAAAAAAAGTTATCGAAAAGGTGTTTCTTTTTTTTTTAGAATTATCTCATTTTATTTATTATCTCATAATTGTTATTTTTTAATTTAACTATACAGAGAAAAAGTGAGAAAGTAAGCCACCCAGTATGAGACTTGAACCACAGTCAACCATGTGAGAGTCCAGAGCCTTAACCATGACACCACATGCTGGCCCCAAAGGTAATTCTTTCTTTAAAAGAAAGTATAAAGTATATATTCTTATAACAAAGTATTAATTTTCTATATAAAAAGTAGAAAAAATTAAATATAAATACTTAGACTCGCCATGAAATATGAATACTCTGAAGAACTAGATATTTCTACATAACCTTAATTTTTTTTTTTTTTTTGGAGAGGTTTTTGCTATAGGGCATGTGCATGTGCCAGAAAGACAGACAGAAAGTGAGAAATCACTCCCCGGGGGGATGGCCACACTGCAATCCCTTCTCCTCCATTCTCCTCTCGGCACCTTGGGCACACATGCACACGCGCCCAGCATGAGGTTAAGCCACTGGGTCCAGGACTTGAACCACAGTTAACTACATGGAAGTCCAGCAATGTAGCCATTACACCATCTGCTGGTCCCAAGCTTAAATTTTAACAGCAAAAACTAGGTAAAAACTTAATAAGAGAAATACTTCTGTTATATTCACAAATTCTGTAGGCACCTGTTTTTTCCTCTTTCTTTCTTCCTCCTGGTCATATTCCTCTTTTGATTTTCTGAAATATATGAAAATAAGGTAGAGATTAAATTTTCTTTTTTTGGTCAAAGCACAAATATGCTGTATATGTTCGTAACTAAGTTCTACTACTTACACAGTAGTATGTACCCCAAATAAACTCTTAGAAAATAAAATCCAAAAGTGTAGTACTTATTGGTTTTCAGATTACCTATCAAACAATGCAACCAGTCCAAGTTTAAAAAAAAAAAACTTCACTAGTCTTCTGAATCAAGTATCTTTTGCAATCAAACCTGTGAACTCAAAACATTCTGTGTTGTCTCGGGCTCCAATTTTTCTCTGCCATGGAAATTAATATCCAGAAAGAAAGGGCTAAGTTTACCTACAAATCTGCTTCTCCCCACAACCACTCAAATCTCTTGAAATTAAGCACTAAATCCTAGCACTTCAGCCATAGTTTTACACTAAGCTCATCCTCCTGAACAGTCATCCTGCTTATTCTCTCTTCTGCTTTGGATGTAGAACAAGGTAGATAGGTGTGCAGACTACAGGCAGCTAAAAGATACCATGTGTGAGGATACAGCTGAAGCAGTGCCCCAAGGGCCAAGGTTCTATTCTGCAGGTGACACAGTGACCTCAGATTTTCTTCTTCCCTAAACCTTGTACATTTTCATAGATTTAAAAATTAGGTGTTGCAATTGCCCCTCCCTTTCAAAACTCCCCTATGGGTCAGGGGACAACAGAAAAAGAAAAAGAAATGCCCACTAATCTTTCCTAGTTCTAGGTGGGCCTCTTTTGTGGGCTGCACACTGCATGCCAGTCATCTGACTAGGATTCATGTCACTAGGGAGAGGAAGTGACCAGCCAGGTACTCATTTGTGAGAGAAACCTGTGTCCCACTGTCTTCCCTCCCTTTCTGGTTACCTGTCACCCAGGCAGCTATTCAGTATGTGGAGCGGATGCCCAGCCCCCTCCTATGAGGTATCTAGAATGAACCATCCAGAAGCCATAGAGTATTCTACCTATTAGCTCAAGTCCCTATGTCCTTCTCCTTAGGAATCAGGCTGGGTCTGCTCAGGTTATTCCCCACTGGTGGTTAGTTTTCTATTCCTGTGGCGGGGAGGGAAAAAGACTTTCTCATTTAGGCTGATGTGGTAGGAATCAGCTGAAAATAACTCTTTCTGTCCAGTAAGAAGTACAATATATTCATAGCTATAATGATAAATCATTTTCAATGTCATCAGTAGAGTTTAGATATTTTACTAGCTCATAACATTTTATGAATAAAAAAATATGTACCAGTCATATTATAATTAATATTTCTAATGATTCATACAAAAAATAAAAGAAAAGTACCTAAGAACTTCCCTCAGGATTTTCATCTCTTCCTGTTCAAGGTCACTGACCACATCAGAACCATCTGTTAAGCAGTCAGGTAATACACCTGTTCAAAACCAAAGACCACATAGAACAATATCAAATTAACTGAAAATATTTATTTCCCACTGCTTTATAATAGTTTATCAGATAGAAATTAGTTTAACACTTAAAAATTTGAGTTCCAACTTATTATCTTTTAAACTTTTTCTAATTTATGGAATAAACCCCACCCCAACTCCATATATTTTACCTAAAAATCTCTCTTAGAAATAATTTGTATTGGCTAGTAAAAATAATAATGAGGGAACCAGCTGTTAGCGTAATGGCTATGTCGCTGGACTCCCACGTAGTCGACCACAGTTCACGTCCCGGACCCGGTGGCTTAAAACTCATGCCGGCGCGTGTGCGTGCGTGCCCAAGATCCCGAGAGGAGAATGGAGGAGAAGGGATTGCGGCGTGACCATCCCCCCTGGGGGGTGATTTCTCGCTTTCTGTCTCTCTGTCTCTATCTGTCTGGTGAGCGCACGTGCCCTATAGCAAAAACCTCTCCAAAAAAAAAGAAAAAAATAATAATAATGATATATTGCAATATACATTAATTGATATGTTACTGTCTTCCATAATCGTATAGTATCTGAGGACTTATTACTGAAAGCAATAAAGTAGGGTTAATAACAAACTATGCTCTTGAATGGCTCCTTTAAGCAGGAAAGATTTTATCAAATAAAATACTGTTAACTGAAACAGCATCTAATACTCTTTATTAATACTACAACAAATGCCATGGGAAAAGGCCCTACTTATGGTGTGCAATGAAAACTTGCAGCTAAACACTTTGGAAGAGTATAAAGATGAATAAAATAATTGCTGCCCTTGGAGCATTTATGTTCAGAAAATGGGCTAATAACTACATACCAGAGAACTACCAACTTTGACCCCAGGCAAATAAACAGCCATGGTGAGTAATTTTAAATAAATTGCCTTTATTGCTTAAGTAACCTTAGATAAGCAGGGTAGGCTGGTAATAAATTTTCTGTTCCTATCTACAATTATTACATTCTACAATAATCAGCAGAATATCTCTTAATTTTTAATTTCCATTTCTTTATCCACATACAGTAATGGAATTTTGGATCTGCTCTAAAGTAGCTTTCTTTTCTAATGCCCTTCATGTTTAAAATTAAACATTTTATTTTGAGATAACTGTATATTCATATTTAATTGGAAGAAAGAATACAATATGATGCCAAATATCCTTTATCTAATTTTCTCCAGATATAACATCTTGCAAAACTATAGTACAATATCACAACCAGAAAACAGGTCTCTATAAAACCCATCAATCTGTGTGTGTGTGTGTGTGTGTGTTTTAAAGAATTATTTATTTAATTTTATTCATTATCATTATTATCCTTTTTTAATTTGACCAGAGACAGACAGAGAGAGAGAAAGAAGGATATTGAGAAAGCAAGCCCCCAGGTCCGGAACTTGAACCATAGTCAGCCATGTGGGAGTCCAGCACCTCAACCGCCACACCACCTACTGGTCCCAAAACTCACAGATCTTATGCGTGTTTTTGTTCAATAATACAAAATTTCTATTCTCCTAATAATCAAGTTAACATTTAAAGTTCTAAGGGCCCAGCCTTTCTGGCATAGTCAGTAGCACACCAAACTGCAGTTCAGATCCCCACCCACATCAACCTGAGGCACACCAGGTGTGCGTGCATGTGCCCAAGATCTTCATGAGCTGGAGGGCTCAAGAGAAGGATCGCAGCAAGACCAGACCCTGTTGAAAGTGCATCTCCCTTCCCATCTACCTCTCATATGCATGTGTGCTATGATAAATAAAAAAAAAGATTTAAAAAGCAAAAATAAAAGTAAAGCACTAAGGGAAGAAAAATACAACAGTATGAAAGTACTTTTTGTTAAAATTATTTTTAGGAACCAGCAGGTGGCATGGTGGTTGAGGGTGCTGGACTCCCACATGGCCAACCACGGTTCGAGTCCCAGACCTGGCAGCTTGCTTTCTCATTTTCTCTCTCATTCTCACTCTTGCTCTGTCCCTCTATAGTCAAATTAAATATAAATAAATAAAGTTAAATAAAATAATTCTTTTTTAAAAAAAGAATTCTTTTTAATTGAATTTAGTATCATCATCATTATTTTTTTAATTTGACCACACAGAGAAAGAGAGTGAAAGGGAAAGTAGGAAACCAAACCTCCAGGTCCAGGACTCGAACCATGGTCAGCCACGTGGGAGTTCAGAGCCTTACCATCATGCCACCTGCCAGCCCCAAAAGTACTTTAAAACCTTTTAGGGACCATCAGATGGTGTAACTGTTGCGTCGCTGGATTCCCACATAGTTGACAGCAGTTTGACATAGTTGACCCAGTGGCTAAAAACTCACACTAGGCGCATGTGCGTGTGTGCGTGCATGCGTGCCTAAAATCTCTAGAGGAGAATGGAGAAGGGATTGCAATGTGGCCATCGCCCCTAGAGATGGTTTCTTGCTTTCTGTTTCTCTGTCTGTCTCTGTCTCTCCGGCGAATGCACATACCCTATAGCAAAACTCTCTCTCCTAAATAATGTTCTGATTTACACTTTCTCCAAATTCCTTGATAAAATATAACCAGGAATTCAGAAACCCTTCAAATTCTTCTCACCACAAAGATAATTTTCGAACAGTCTGCAGTTTTGAGTAAAACAGGCATTAGCTCTAAGTTAAGTAACATTCCTAAGTACAAGTATTAAAAATTCTGTGACATGGCTGGCCTCATTAACAGTGTTAAGCGCTGTATGCAGGGAGCTGGATCCCACATGATCAATCACAGTTCAAATCCCAATCCCAGGGGCTTGAAGAATATGCTAGGTACATGTGCAAAAGTGTCCAAAATCCTCACAGGATGGAGAAATGGAGAAGGGACCTGATATGACCATGCCCCATTGGGAGGTGCTTTCTCACAAGCACAGATGCTCTCTGGCAATTAAAAAAGAAAGTATCAGAAACTATGTATTAGTTCATATTTAAATGTAAGCAAACTGTCCCATGTTGTGGTCCATCAGCAGCCATTATTCCATATCATCCCATTCCTCCCTTGCTAAATATAAACCAAGTTTTGAGCAGTTTACCAGGCAGCCAACTACTTAAACATAGGGTCCTCCTCGATCCCAGAAGAGTGATTCATGACTGGTTTAAGCCAACCATAGTGATCTCATTTCCCCCTACCAGATGGTTTAAGAAAGACAAGTGATCCCAATCTTCATACATAAAGGGAAAATTCCTAGAGGGCTTCCATGATAAGTGCTGTCTTGCTAACAAGACGAGATGTACAGGAAGTATCCCTTCTCCTCATGAGACACTATTGAATCTGCACTGGATGTAGCCAGAGTACAGTCATGAGGAAGGTCCTGAGAATAGCAGAGTATAAACATGGAAAGTGTCAGGTTCTTAATTAACCACTCCTGGATCTGTCTCCCTTCTCCACTTCCTCTGGACTTCTTGTTCTGTGAAATGTTCATTTCTAATGACTTAGGCCATTTTCATTGGGGTGTTCTGTTACTGACAGCCTGAAGCACCCAGCTGATAGAAGATATATGCACTTGCTCCTTTTTATTTAAAATATAAAAGAGTGGGGGCCAGCATGTGGTGTGGTGGATAAGGTGCTGGATTCCCACATGACCAAATGCAGTTGGAGTCCTGGACTTGGTGGCTGGCTTTCTCATTTTCCCTCTCTCTCGCTCTGGGGAGCACACAAGCCCTATAGCAAATTAAAAATAATAATAAATAAAATTAAATAAATAATGCTTCTTAAAAATATAAGAGTTTTCAGTTAAGCTCCAAATTGAAACTATGGCATGTCAATACATTCACTATTTCTTTTGTCAAAACTTATTCCTTCAAAACATATCTTACTAACATAAAATAGTTATTAATATTTTATATCCTACATATCAGAATAAAGCATAGTTTCAGGAAGTTTAAAAGAGAAGATTTTATAAAGCAAACTATGGCAGAAAGATAAAGATAGTCTTTTCCAAATTTATTTACACCAAAGTCTCGGTGCTGTGTTATATATTCTTCAGGGTTAGGGTGGTGCTCTCTATCTCCTACCCACAGACAAGGGCTCCATTACTTACTGTGGAAAGCATCTTGGGATTTTAGAGAGTGGTTCTAACAGTAGCTGGCTCTAAAGGACAGAGACATGTCAGACAAAGAAGCAGAATCCCCAGCACTGGCCCTGCCACATTCTGATGTCTGCTCTGTAACAACCTAAGTCCTACTGTTCCATGTTCCAGATTCCTATGAGCAATTAAGATAACTCAATTATAGCTCTGATATCTTTATGCATGCCCAAAATCCAGAGAGTAGAATGAAGGGAAAGGGTCTGCAGTGCAGCCATCCCCTTTGGGGGATGATTTCTTTTTTTCTTTTTTGGAGAGGTGTTTGCTATAGGGCACGTGTGCGCATCAGAAAGAGAGAGAGACAGAGAGACAGAAAGCGAGGAATCACCTCCCAGGGGGGATGGCCACGCCACAATCCCTTCTCCTCCATTCTCCTCTTGGGATCTTGGGCACACATGTACACACACCCAGTGTGAGTTTAAGTCAGCAGGTCTGGGACTTGAACTGTGGTCGACTACATGGGAGTTTGGCGACATAGCCTACGCTACCTGCTGGTCCCTTGGGGGGTGATTTCTCACTTTCTGTCTCTGTGTCTGTCTTTCCAGCGAGTGCATGCACCCTAGTAGCAAAAATCACTTAAAAAAAATAAATAAAATTCCAGCAGTTGCTACCTAGCAACTTGCCCACCCAGAAGTCGTTTGGGTATATTTCTTTTCTTAAATCTTTCTTTCCTATTAAATTCTCCTTTCTACCTACCGAAAAAAAAAAAAAAAAAAAAAAATTTCTGGCTGGCTTTCTTTGAGTTGCTGAATAAACACTGATCAAGAAGTTTACATTCTTAAATCTCATGATTCAGACAAAGAATTTTTTTTTTTTTGGTTAAAGAATTATTTTATTTGACTTTATTTATTCATTTATTTATTTATTTATTTATTTATTTATAATTTTGACCAGAGAGGGAAAGTAAGAAAGCAAGCCGCCAGGTCCAGGACTCAAACCGTGGTTGGCTATGTGGTAATCCAGCACCCTTAACCATCACACCACCTGCTAGTCCCTAGACAAAGACTTTCAAACTTAAAATAAATGCATATAAGGTGGTTACATTTCAAACCATATTAGAATCAAACTAGTTGAAACTGCAAAATACATTAGTACTTAGAATTTTTAACTTCGACATATTACCATTTCTCTCTTGAAATATTCGAATGGCTTGCAGTTGCATTTCAATGTTTTTCTGAACCATCATTGCTTTAAAGATAGTAAAATCTTCTGCTGCCAATACGGGTTGCAAAATGGCCTGTCAAAGAAGACTGGAGGTTAGACGAAGATTTAACTTTTAAAAATATTTCCTACCCATTCAAATAATTTCCACTGCAAAATGATGAATTAATTCAAGAATACTGTATTATCATTTGTGATTAGATGACTCAAAAAGGATAATTTTATTTTTAAAACCCGTTAAAATAGGGTTCTTAAGAGGTTAAGTGTCTAAATTCCCAAGCCTCCAGGTTCTAACGTTGTCAGCAATACATTTTCCAATTGACCCAGTACTGAATGATTCTGAAAACAACACAGGAATCTGACTTCCTTTTTAAAAGTTACCATTTCAGGATTTTGATTTCTTAAAAAATGTTTGGATAGGGTGCATGTACTTACCAGAGAGAGAGAGAAAGAGACAGAGGAAAAGTGAGAAATCACCCCCAGGGGGAATGGCCACATCGTAATCCCTTCTCCTCCACTCTCTAGGGATTTTAGACATGCATGCACACATACCAGTGGCTTGCAAAACAGGCTGGAAGCATGGGAGCATATGCCCCAAATCCCCACAGGATGGAGAAATAGAGGAAAAGAGATTGTGGCATGACCATATGCCATCAGGGACGCTTTCTCCCTCGCCCTTCCTCCCTCTCTGTTTCTGTCTGTCTCATGTGAGTACACATGTCCTCTGATAATTGAAAAAAAGAAAATGATTCAAACATGTTCATACTTACCTAGGTTTCCTCTATTATTAACTTTGCTTAGAGTTAATCATACCATATTCTAAAAGATAAAGGTGATTACACAATATGTGCTGCTCCATTAAGAAATCTATATATTGCCTATTTCTGAAAACCCAGCAAATAATACTTATTGCTATTACAAAAGAACGATATACATAAGCTAGCTTTCTATTACTTGGGCTAATTCATTTCATTCTTCCCTCCAACCTTTCAGATCACATGTAGCCTAGATGATGCACAGTGGTAATGCCCCTGGACCAACATGGGAAGGTACCAAGTCTGCATAATGGGGCATCCCTGAACACGTCATGTTATTTATGTGTACCTGTGATCTGAGCTGACTGAAGCTGGGGTGGACAGAGATATGAAGACCTCTTTGAGGTGCCTGTCTCTCTTTCTCAAGAAAAAATAAACTAAAAAAAATATAAATACGGGAGCCAGCAGGTGGCATGGTGGTTAAGGGAGCTGGACTCCCACATGGTCTTCCATAGTTCGAGTCCCAGACCTGGTAGCTTGCTTTCTCATGTCCTCTCTTTCTGATAAAATGAAAAAATAATAATAATAATAATTAAAAGTTAAATAAAATAATTTTTAAAAAAAGAAAGTAAGGGGGACCAGCAGTTAGCATAATAGCTATGTTGCTGGACTCCCATGTAGTTGACCGCGGTTCAAGTCCCGGACCTGGTGGCTTAAACTCACGCCAGACACATGTGCGTGCGTGCCCAAGATCCTGAGAAGAGAATGGAGGAGAAGGGACTGCGGCGTGGCCATCCCCCCCGGGAGTGATTTCTCGCTTTCTGTCTCTCTCTGTATTTCTGGCAAGTGTACACAAAACCCCCCCCAAAAAAAAAAAAAAAAAAAAGAAAAGAAAGGAAAAAATCTGGTATGTGACAACAAATTAAGAGTTTTCTATACTGCTCAGTGACACATTATATTTTTTCAAAGAATTATTCACTTATTTTTATTTGGTATAGGGCACGTGCACTCATCAGAGAGAAACAGAAAGAGTGAGAGAAAGAGAGAAGAGAGAGAGGGAAAATGAGAAAGCAAGCTGCCAAGTCCAGGACTCAAACTGTAGTTGGCCATGTTGGAGTCCAGCACCTCAACCACCATACCACCTGCTGTCCCCAGTGACACATTATTTATTCAGGTTGCATAAACAGATTCTTAAATGAGATCTGACTCTGTCTTCACAGCCTTCTCAAAACAGTCATGATTAAAAATTCTGAGAAAGAGACAACTTAAACATTATTAAAACTAAAAACTTTTGTACATCAGGTACAAAATGTCCAAGAGAAACCCTGGGTATTCTTGTTAATAATGTATTAGCAGAATAACACAAAAGCAAAAACCTGTGATGTACGGGTCTTTGCGAGAGGAGAAGTACATGCTTCTTGAAATTGATCTTCATTAATCCCAATTTCTTTGAGGTAGCTTTCTAACAGTTTTTCAACCTAAAAAAAGAAAGTTTAACTTTTATAATTACATAGAAAAATTCTAAATGGCAGTTTGCATATTGAGTTTAGAATAGTATAATCAATTTTATTTTTAGGTGTTTGCCATAGAACATGTAAGCTCACCAGAGAGAGAGATCGGGAAAATGAGAAATCACCTCTCAAAAGTGGTAGCCACACTGCAATCTCTTTTCCTCCAACCTCCTTCTCAGCATTTTAGGCATACTCGCACACACTCCCAGCACAATTTTTGAGCCACCAGGTCCAGGACTTGAACTATAGTCAGTTATATGGGAGTGCAGCACCTTAACCACCATGCCACCTGCTGACCCCCATCAATTGTTTTGCAAGTATTTATATATCACATGGTAGTGATGCTGTCTTTCACCAAAAAGTTCATTTTTAGCACAGGTGTACATAAATTTCATTTCCTCTCTTAGAAATAAAATTTATGAAGTCAGAATTATGAAGTTCGACATGGAACAACTCTTCTGCTACCCAGAGGAATTTCTTAAGAAAATCAGAAGATAACCATGATTAAACAGGTAGCTAACACTTCCCTAAATGCATCAGCAGAATAAGAATAAAATAGAAAGATTACGTGCAAAATCCATAAATACTTTTTTGTTTTTTGTTTGTTTGTTTATAGACCACAGATTAGTTTATTTTTAACACCCAACATGCCACAAATTCATAGGGAATAGGTTCCAGTAGCTCAGGCTCCTTTCCATTGGTTCTCACAAAGTGTGCTTCTCTGGGTGGAGCAGGCTGGCACTTTAGTTGAACCCAGGTACCTTTTTCTTTGGCTTCTTTCTTTTTCTGGTCATGTTCCTTCACACATTTTAGGAAGCTAGCTCTGCTCTTAGAATGTTTAATATGCTCAATACGCACATTGATTCTCTTGGCAAGAATTTTGCCCTTAACTTGTTTGTTCACAACAATGCCAACGGCACGCTGGGTAACACTGTAGACTCTTCCAGTTTTGCCATGGTAACATGGGGCATTTGTGGGGCATTCCTTTTTGAATAGTACCCATTTCCTTAATGTTTACAGTATCAACTTTCTTGTAGATTCACATATATGTTGCCAAATGAACAACTCCATGTTTTCTAAAAGGCCTAGAGAACATATATCGGGTTCCTCTC